CATGGGAACATTCAATAATTACTCACAACTGTGGAGACGTTACAGGATTTTATTCACACACTGTCTATAAGACTACTCTCAAATCATAAAACAAAGCGATCAAAATGATATACACTATCAAGCAGTCAGTAAACAATACACCAACAAATAGAAAATATTTTGTTCAAAACATATAGTTCTCAGGGAGAAGTACATTTTTAATCTCAAAACAAATTTCATATTTTTCTGTCATTGACTTTTGATGAATGAAAACATGTTCTATCATAGTTGCACAAAATTGATCAGAAATGACTCTGCTTTGCTCTTGCAATATATTTTGTTCTTCCTCCTCCTTGTACTCCTATTTTTACACTTCTGTACCCTCCATCTCACAAACTTGTCCTTTGTTTCTGTGATACTGTAATTCTTGTTCTTTGTTGATATGAACCTGCAACCAGTCAAAATCTATTGAGCAGTCTGTTCTCTAAACAAATGGAAAGCACAATCTTCAATGCCAGACAACCTGTTTGCTCTCTGAACTGGCTTATATTGGTTGTGTCACATGATTTGAAACAAGTGAAATAAATTTTGAGTGGTCGTGTTTAATTAATGATCTTCTCTCTTTGTATTTGATTGTTGTCTGTTGTGTTTACCAGTATGGATGACATGTGCATTAGAGTGAAGAATGTGTTTAGAGTTCTGCTGAAAAGTCTAAGTGAGATCTGAAAATTGTGTTTTACCATGTGAAATGGTTTAAGGTACTGACGACAGACTGCACAGTTAGTAAATGAGTTCAGGCAACAGCAAACTTTGTTCAGCCAATGGGTTTTAGTGTTTAGCAATTGAGAAAAACTGTAAATGGCAACATCACATAGCTTATCAGAGCCCTCAGTGACGTCTCTTTAAACACAGACAGACATGAGAGGAAACAAACCAACTTGTGACAATATAACATTAAAGTACTAATTATAAATCCCATGTAAACCTGTAATTTGGTGCAGTCAGCACTTCTTTATTTAATATTTACTACTGTCATAAAAAAAAACCAGTTCTGGAATTAACTGATTTATTACCATGGAAGTATTCTGATAAATAAACATAAACAAATATAAAAACACCATCTCTATATATATAGTGTTATTGTATTACTGTATAAGTAAGCACATCTTGAGCAATTTACAATCCAGAGTCAGATTTCTCGTATGTGTGCACATACCTGGCAATAAAACTGATTCTGATTCTGATATCTCTTGTCAGTATATTCTCTTGTGTACCTATGACCCTGGCAGCAGGTACCAGGTGAGGATGAACTCCATGATGTGATCAAAACTGATGACTTGCAAAGTTTCATTCTGTTCAATTCACTCTTGAATTCATTAAAAGCAAAAGTGTCTTTAATAAGTTCATCATTGTTTGATTTGATGGCTTCAGGGACCAAAACAGAGAAAACAAACATGTGATGTGTTTCAGCAGGTTAACGTGTTGCTTCAGAAACACAGTGATGTCAGGACATCTGTTTGTTTACTATTGTTTCATTCAGCCAATCAAATAACAACCCAAGAACCTTATTCAGGAGTAAATGCTCTAAATAAAGAGTCTCTGATATAATGGCAGATGTTATTTAAAAGTATGCATTTCTTAAACAAAAACACAAACAAGCTTTTACAAACTTTCTAACGTTAAACAGTCTCTGCTGCTGCTTTTCATCAACATCTAGGTTTGAAATCTGATAAGACACACGTCACACCCTCCGTCCCTTTTGTTCGTCCCTCCCTCTATTTCACATCATATTTAAGCAACACGCCTTTTTCAAAACTGCGCACTTTATCCAAACAGTCTGACAGTGTGTACGATCACTCTGAGTAACTGACAAACTTAAGTAAAATCATTTTTAGAGACACATTTTAATATGTTGTACTTCTTATAAATATAGGACACGGCCCAAACTATTTCATGATAAACAGTTCCTCCATTATTTATACACCTTCCTAAACCCAGTATTTTTATTAAAAACAACTGAAATGAACTCCATTATTATATAAGATTATCAAAGTAAATATTTTATCTTTCAAACATATGAACATTTTCTAGAACAAGATGACATTATTTTATAACACTGATCAAAAGTTTTATCTTTTCATAATAAAATCTCATATTTACCAGAAGCTGCTGGAGACAGAAGGACCAACAGGAGCACAAACTTCTCCATGAGGGAGGAGGTGAAGTCGGTCTGCTGCTGTGACTGTGCTCTGACTTTGCTCTCTCTGCTGTAACTGAGGGAAATTCTTCGCTGGCAGAGCATAATGTTCACACTGAGAAAATGGGCGTGCTCTGTCTGTGCTGCACTGCAGGAAGTAGTTAGGCAGTAGGAACTGCTCCACCCTGTGGTGGAGTGGGCAGATATCAGAGCATGATTTACAAGAACCACAGAAAGTGTTCTCTTAAATCTCTTTTTGATCATATGTTGACAGAGTAATGTTGAAACATTATTAATTGTGACTGTAAAACTGCTCCCAACAAATTGATAATAAAATGATGAGAAGTTTTTTTATACAAAAATGAATTCCTTTGGCATTATTTCTAAGTTTTCTGAACAACATAAACGCATTTTTATGATATTGTCTGAAATATATATGTGATATACTTTGTCCCAATTGTGGATCTCATTAAATGTTTTTCAGTATAACAGAAGTTTAAAAATCCTTCAGACCATGTGCTGATGGTCATGTGACCATCTGTGAGACCCTGAGAGAGCAGCAAGGTTAGTAGATCTCTCCTGAGTCTTTGATCAGTTACAAAAGTGAGTCATTCAGTGCAAAACACGAAACATTTTGAAAAATAAGGTACTGTAAATGTAAAGTGAGATCACATTTGATCAGGTCAAGGTCATCACTTGAGACAGGTGTCCTGTTCATTTTGTTAACAGGACACCTGGATTTTTTCCTTTATGTTCTTTAAAAACACTCATTACAATGTGACATGTTGTACATGTTGTTACTTTGATCATTTTTATGATATTAATGACATTCAGTTTATATATGTGTATGTATGTACCCATGCTAATATTGATTCATAGTGAAAGTTTACTAATAGGAAGATGTTTTGTTTGTTGTTAATGATAAATCTTACACCTGTTTTTTTAATTTGTACTAAAAATGCCACGTCCAAAATTATTCATACCCTCTAAAAAAGTTTATCAAAGCCAACACAATCAATTAAACAGTTCTTATGATTGCTAACAAGCTTTTTGCAGGTCTCCACTGGGATTTTGGACCACTCCTCTTTTGCAATGATCTCCAGGTGTTTGAGGTTGGAAGGCCTCCTTGCCATCACTCGGGTCTTTAGTTTCTCTGCACACGTACACCACCTAGAGGCAAAGCATGGAATAGCTGCAACACTTCAGTGAAGCACGTTTAAATTGGAGGACAGGCAGTCCCAGTCGGCTCTACTGGTCAGGTGTATGGCTATGACATCATTTTGTATCAGGACACCTGAGGGCTCATCCTGGTCTGAGGTCATTATCATTGTTACAACAGGAACCATTTCCACAGCCAACAGGCAAGAGTAATTTTATTGAGTCAAGACAGGACGTCTGCCCAGCCTTGATGTTGTGTCAGCCCTCGTGTCTGTGTCCTCTCACAGTCCAAACACATACAGGTTTATTAGAGACTCTAAATTGCTTAAAGGTCTGGATACATTTGTCTCTCAGTATGTGTCAGCCCTGTGGCTGTGACAGATCAGTTATCCATCCAGGTGAACCTACTTCACTGTGATCTAGCTGTTACAGTGATTATGATGTCAGTTGTGCACAACCTGTCGGTTATTTTGTTCACTTTGAGACTTGAGACTAAACATGAAGCCTATTTCCTGCTATTTGCTTGAGAGAAACCCAACAACGCAACATTAGTAGAAACATAGAAAGAGGAAGGAGGTGGGATTTACTTGGTGTGAGTGGTGAACGGTAAAGTGTTGATCTCAGATGACCAAGCTTAAAAATGGAGGAATCATCTTTACTGTGGCTGCTGGGTAAGTAAGAATCTACTTTATCTGTGACTGTTTGTCTACATATTCTCTCAAACATTAGATCTTTCAATTTCTGGTGTTTTATATACATATCAGCTACAACAAGAGAGCAGGACATTTATTTATCATTATTTGGTAATATGTCTGCAAAAAAAATTAAACACAAATTAAAGCAAGTGTTTATTTTCAATTGTTTATAATTTGTACAAGTTTTGCTTTAAAATTGAAGTAGAGGAAAACATGTAGAAGAAAATTACATAAAAGGTTTTAAACTAAAAAAGGTATTTACTAGGGCTGCACAGTTAACCGTTCACTAAGCCACACCCCCTTAGTTACTGTTACATTACATTAGGATCGATCCACAGCCATCCAAATATTTTTCAGGATTTTTTTTAGGTTTTGGAAAGGGAATAAATTCTCCTTTCGACCTCTCTGGGTAGCGACTGTAAGTATTACAAGTGCCCCAGGAACAGCATTTCACCAAATCTTGGAAAAATACAGTAAGACGCCCCGGCCTACAAATCTTGTTCTTCAGAAGAAAATAAATGAAAACCAATGTTATGACATTATGATTCATACATTTTTTTATCGTGGAACAATGATTCCATCTGAAGCTGCCATCAGTCCTGCTCTAAGTTACCACACACACATTCCTCTAGAAGAACTGGGATTGTGTTTTTGTGTTTGGTTTGATAACGGTGTTATTTAAACTTCATTTTACCTGCTTAAGTTCAGGAGTTATTTTAAACAATAAAGCAGAGTGCCTACAGTAATAAGGTCAAGAGTTTCAATACAGGAACCATCATAAAAAAAAAAGAGTGTGATGGTGTAGTTTGAGAAAAAATACCCAGGGCACTGTTTCTCATTGTGGTTGATACAACGAAAACGCTACAATAACACTGAGCTTTGGCTCTGCTGCCTGGAAATTATGCCAGTCCTCACAATATTGTACAATTAGCTTTAGCTACACAAGGTAAACCTATGGCTGCAGATGTATGTCTGAACAGGTCCGCACAGAGGACGTTGCTGGACATTCAGTTTCTGCACACATTTGAACGCATGTTAATGTATGACACACTTATCTATACATACGAGAATTACACACGGCTGGTAAAACCCAGTGTTGTTCATACATCTTGCAAACTTCAAAATCAATTTACAAGCATTAAGCACTCAGACAAGTTTGCAAAAACTAACGTTAGAGAGCAAGAAATTATTTAATATTTTTTAGGGGTGCCGAGATGGGCCCTTGGTTAGAACGAGGCCCTTCAAAAGGTTTGTAAGAGCCAAGGGTATAAATAGAAATCTTTTGTTCTCAGATGACCATGCATATAGGCATGCACACACACACACACACACACACACACACACACACACACACCATACCAGGACACAGCCACACACATATACAATGAAGCTTGTCTGGAGAAACAATGGAAACGGAGGGAAATAAAAGAAACCAAAGGTATCAATGGCAAATATGACTTGGAATTTAATTGACCAAAGAAGGTATAAAAGTGTGTCAATTACTCAGCCTGGAGACAGCACATAAGGGGCTTAAAGCTTTGGCTTAGCCTACAGGGTCTGTGCACGTCTCCCTGATCACTATAGTGTAACAAAGTATAATTGTTTACTGTCTAAGAAAGAACATTTTATTTCTACGTCGTATTAGTGCTGTAAAATATAGTGTAACCACAAAAATTTATTAAAAATGCTGTGTTGATTCATTTGTTCACTTTTCTGCATATGAACAGCTCTTCTGATTTTACCTACTGCTGCTGTGTTTGGGGAAATGAATCTAAAAAACATTTCATGTCTCCTTAAATATATATAATTTCTTAATTCCACATGTAATCAACATGTGGCTGTTTGTCTGTTCACTACAAGCAGGTTGTTCTGTGTTGTAGAAAGTCCAGATGTCTTGTTTCATGTAAAACCTGAAACCAACCTGAGTGTGATTTCTCTTTAGTTCTGACCTCACTGCTGAGCTGCACAACAAACCAAGGTGAGCAAACTTCTTCTGTCACAGCTGAAAAGTTATTCACTCCCTGATAGAACAGTTAGTGTTTAGGACAGTGTTTGGGGAGGGAAACAGTCACTTTACAAATACAATAAAACACTGAATGCAGTTTTGATGTCACAGTGTTGCAGACTGGAGCCAAAGTTAAAACTGCTGGTTAAAATATGTCATTCAGGAACTGCACAGCAGGATGCAGCGGCTACCAGAGAAGTGGAAACACCTAAATATATACATGTTATCAGTGCTTCCTCTCTTGAATGTCTGATGGGTTATACAATGCCTATAAAAAATATTCACCCCCCTTGGATTTTTCACCCTTTTGTTTCTTTTATACATGAAATCAGTCAATATAATTTGGCTTTTTGACAAGAATTTGCAAAACAACCTCTTTAATATCAAAGTAAAAACGGATTTTTACAAACTGTCAATTAACTAAAAATATATCAGGTAAAGCAGATGATCGCATAAATATTCACCCCCTTTAAAGTGACTGAACTAATTCAACAGAAGTCCAGCTAGTTGATACCAGCAGTGTCACAATTAGTGAACTGGAGATCACCTGAGTTCAGCTGACGTGTGTCAAGTGACTGTAGTATAAAAACACCTGTGTGTGGGAGGTCCAGTCTCTGGTTCATCAGTATTCCTAATACAATTGCAACATGAAGAAAAAAAGTAGCACTCCAAGCAACTCAGAGGAAAGATCACTGAAAAGTGAAAAGACAGGAGACGGCTACAAAAAGATTTCCTACTCAGTGGACATCCCATGGAGTTCAGTTAAATCCATAATTCAGAAATGGATGGCGGATGGCACTTGTTTAAATCTGCCTAGAGCTGTCCGTCCTTACAAACTGAGTGACCGAAGCTGTATGGGAGAGAGTCAAAAAGAAAGCCGCTGGTGAAAAAAGCTCATATGAAATCTCGCATGGAATTCGCCCAAAGGCATGTGCTAGACTCCAAGGTCACCTGGAAGAACGTTCTTTGGTCTGATGAGACAAAACTTGAGCTTTTTGGCCATCAGACTAGACGCTATGTTTGGAGAACACCAAACTCTTGTCAAAAAGCCAAATTGACCTGATTTCATGTATAAAAGAAACAAAGGGGTGAAACATCCAAGGAGAGTGAATAATTTTTATAGGCATTGTAGTTGCCATAACAGGAGACTTAGACGTAGCAAAAGTATTGATTGGTACAAAAGATCAATAAACAAGTCACAGAAAACAATAAAATGCTCTGTGTTTAGAGGTTTTTTTTCTCTGAAAATCAGGACCTGAAAAACGTTGGTAAACTTGGAGAAAATACATGCTAATTATTTCTCTGACCACATCTTTCTGTCTTTTCCTCCAGCCTCTCTGACTGTGAGTCCCAGCAGCTCTCAGCTGTTTAAAGATCAGTTTGTCTCTCTGAGCTGTGAGGAGGACGACAGCTCTGCTGGATGGACGCTGAGGAGGAACACAAGCAGAGGAACCAGGACTCAGTGTGACGACTGGGGAGGAGAACCAGCTGGTTCTTCCTGTTACATCAGCTACATCGCTGCATCAGACAGCGGAGTTTACTGGTGTGAGTCCAGAGAGGGAGCAACCAGTAACACCATCAACATCACTGTCACTGGTAAGATCAGACTGTGGAGTTAGTGTTGATGAAGCTGTGTGTAAATGATGAAATGCTGTAGTTTGTCTCTGTGTTGAGGTGGACCAGTGATCCTGCAGAGTCCTGTCCTCCCTGTGATGGAGGGACATGATGTCACTCTGCACTGTAAAACAAAGACCCCTCCCTCCAACCTCCCAGCTGGTTTCTATAAAGATGGCTCCCTCATCAGGACTGAGCCTACAGGTCACATGACCATCCACCATGTTAACAAGTCTGATGAAGGCCTCTACAAGTGTAACATCAGAGGTCGTGGAGAGTCTCCATCCAGCTGGATCTCTGTCACAGGTGAGCAGCTCAAAGATAATTCTCAAACTGTCCTTGTTTTGTTTTCTACATTGAGTTCAGCAGGTTTCAGGAGAGCAGAGATGATTCATTTCACTTTGAAAAGAAACAAGAATGAAATCTGTCAGCGTTCAACCCACCGTTCACCTGTGGTGGAAGAAGTACTTAATTTTTATACTTAAGTTAAAGTACAGATAACACAAAAAAAGTCAAAGTAAATGTACCACACATTAAAATCTATTGATCTTACAAAACACAATCTATCTTTTTAAATTCACTCAAGGCAGGTTTGAATATAGCATTATAAGTTATAGTGACAAACTTCAGCACAGCTCTTGTAAATTATAGAATTTTTCAATACATTAATGATATCAGCTGCATCAGGCCCATTCAAACTGGCTCCTCCAGGTTTCCTTCCTTCAATAATTATATTTTCAAATATAATTTTGTTTAATAAAATAACTTGGCTGAATACAGTGAGGGAAAAAATTATTTGATCCCCTGCAGATTTTGTACGTTTGCCCACTGACAAAGAAATGATCAATCTATAATTTTATTGGTAGGTTTATTTCAACAATAAGAGACAGAAAAACTATAAACGCATGCCAAAAGTGTTATAAATAGATTTGCATTTCAATGAGTGAAATAAGTATTTGACCTCTCAATCAGAAAGATTTCTGCCTCCCAGGTGTCTTTTATACAGGTAACGAGCTGAGATTAGGAGCACACCCTTAAATGGAGTGCTCTTAATCACGTTTGTTACCTCTATAAAAGACATCTGTCCACAGAAGCAATCAATCTATCAGATTCCAAACTCTCCACCACGGCCAAGACCAAAGAGCTGTCTAAGGATGTCAGGGACAAGATTGTAGACCTACACAAGGCTGGAATGGGCTACAAGACCATCGCCAAGCAGCTTGGTGAGAAGGTGACAACAAAGGAACACTAACGAACCAGCGGTATCGATGACCCGGGATAACGACCCCACTGAGGTTAAATAGCTGAGTTTCCCTGCCAGTCAGTCAGAACTGAAGAAGTCCTTTGGATAAGGGACGAAACGTCTTCCAGTATCTTCAACCAAGTCCAGTTGCCCTTCATTTTAACCTTCGTTGGATAACTATGACCTGGATGACTGAGAATCTTCATAGACAAGGTGACAACAGTTGGTGACATTATCAGCAAATGGAAGAAACACAAAAGAACTGTCAAGTCTACCTTAGTCTGGGACTCCATGCAAGATCTCACCTCGTGGAGGTGCAGTGGTCATATATAAGCCCAGAACTACACAGGAGGAACCTATCAATGATTTCAAGGCAGCTGGGACCATAGTCACAAAGAAATGAATTGGTGGAAGGAGCTAGTGCTAAGCTCAGAGCTAATCCATGCAGAACGCCTTTACCATCAATCCTGCTCGCTAACGTCCGCTCATTGGAGAACAAATTGGACTATATCAGACTGGATTTAACAACAAAACGGGAGGTGAGCGAGTGTTGTGCTCTGATTTTCACTGAGACCTGGTTAAATGACACAGTCTCAGAGAATGCCTTTAGCATGGTGGGGCTAACTACTTTCCGTGTGGATAGAAGTGGAGCCCTCAATGGCAAACCTAAAGGCGGTGGGGTGTGCATCTATATAAACAACAGATGGTGCACGAACACAGATGGGGTTCATTCTCATTGCTCCGCGGACACTGAGCTTCTAATAGTTAAATGTCGCTCCTTCTATCTTCCAAGGGAGTTCTCTGCCATAATCATCACTGCTGTCTATATACCTCCCGATGCAGATACTAAAGCAGCCCTAAAAACGCGGTCTCATTCCATAAACGAACTGCAAACTATACACCCTGAGGGAGTACTTATAGTTGCTGGGGACTTCAATCAGGCAAACATGGAAAAAGGTCCTCACTTTTACCAACATGTGGATTTTTGCAACAAGGGGGACCAACAAACTGGATCATGTCACATTGAGTGGTCGACTAGAAAGGCGCTATACAAATACAGAGCATTTACGTTTACCTTGGCTCAACTGACCACATCTCTGTCATGCTAATTCCAGCATACAGACTCCTGCTCGTCAGAACAAAGCTCTCCTTAAAGCAGTCTGGCCGGAGGGAGCCATGTCAGCTCTGCAGGACTGCTTTGAATGCACTGACTGGTCTGTCTTCAGGGATGCTGCCACCAAAGGCCATACCACAGACATCGAGGAGTATGCTGATGTCGTATCAGGATACATACTCAAGTGCATGGATGATGTCTGTGTCACAAAAAACATCACAGTCCGGGCAAACCAGAAACCTTGGATGACGACAAAGGTCCGAGCCCTGCTCACAGCCCGCAACTCTTCCTTCAAATCTGGGGTTGCCACTGCTCTCAGGTCTGCGAGAGCCAATCTGAACAAAGCAATCAGATTGGCAAAGAGGGCACATGGACAAAAAAATCCCGGGTCATTTTAACGACCACAGAGACACCAGGAAACTGTGGCAGGGAATCCGGGCTGTCACGGACTATAGGACTGCTCCCCTGTCCTGTGATGACAGCATGGATTTCCTCAACAACCTCAACAATTACTTTGGTAGTTTTGAATCACAGAATACCACACAAGCGAGGAAAACCACCCCACAGGAAGGGCACATAATTTCGTACTACAGTGTACTGTGGAATGACAATAAAGAAATCTTGAATTTTGCCAAAAAGTACTAAGTCATGTTTTGCAGAGGGGGTCAAATACTTATTTCACTCATTGAAATGCAAATCAATTTATAACACTTTTCGCATGCGTTGTTCAGAATTTATTTGGTTATTCTGTCTCTCACTGTTGCAATAAACCTACCAATAAAATTATAGACTGATCATTTCTTTTTCAGTGGGCAAACGTACAAAATCTGCAGGGGATCAAATATTTTTTCCCCTCACTGTTTGTGCTACTAAGTATTTACTGAGAGATGTGCATCCATGTTGCCCAGTCTGTGCTGCTAACATTTTAATATTCAATGTGAATCCACGGCTTCCCATCATGCATTAGTCCATAACTAAACTAAACTGTCTTGTTTTAAAATGATGTTTGAGGAGTGCCCTCACATCCCGTCTGGACTGGTCCCACAGATGTTTTTTGCTGGAATGGGTAGGTTTAATTACATGCGCGCGCATTTGAATGCATTTTCAACTTGGCTATATTGTCTGAGCTGCAGTTTATAAATACTGTGGCCCGTCAGCGTTTATCAAAGGTAATAGTTATGTTTCACTCAACATTGTTCAGTCACAGTCTGACAAGCAACCAAGACACAGACAAGAGCTGCGCTGCTGAGCTGGTTAGCAGGACAGACAGACAGACTCACAGTAGCTTCACATTATCATGACTGTTAAGCTATCTGCTGACCTCAGAATTTGAGAGAGGAGAACACATGTGTACCTTGACATTCACTCTTGAGTTTATTTCTTTACTCATTCCCAGAAGGACAGTCCCTCTTCATCCCCTCATCATAGTTGTAAACACTCGCTTTCACCTTTGACATGAGAGCGAGGCGGGGCCGTTCAGCTCTGCGCGAGAGAGACCTGATTTCTGTCGCTGCGTATGTCAGTGACGCATCAGCTGGGTGAAATTGATTCGCCCCTGTCAGCTTTATAAGTTTTACATTTGTGTGTCAGTGCTGCACCACTCAGGTGGTTACTGGTTTACCAGTTTACTGGTTAAGTGACTCAGTCAAGCGAGTGATTACAAAAGTACATGGGAGAAGTAGAGTTGCCTTTCTGGCAGGTAACATTAGTCCATCACGTTCATCCATCCTTTAACCCTTGCGGTGCTCTTCTTCTTCTTCTCCTCATTTTATTGGCGAGTGCAGCTAATGTAATGTACTGCCACCTGCATTAGGGGAGGGGAAAGTAGCAAATGTTGTTCTTTTTGAAAGTTTGAAAATGCTGGAGACAGACAAAAGTTTTGACAGGTATGCTTTCAGTTAGCATGTTGTTGAATGTATCATCAATTGATCTTATTTTCTGTGCCTTTTAATTAGAATTTCTTGTTCATTTTAGGGAAACCCACCACTACAAGTCCTCCTTCAACCACCCCTCCTCCTGGTTCCTACTCCTCTGTCTCACCTACCACTGCTTCTGGTTCCTCTCATCTACTAGTGCTGGGGTCTGTTCTATCTTTCTGTGTTCTAGTTACACTGGTTCTACTGGTTCTTCTGGTTCTACTGGTGAGACGATGCCTCCATAGGAAACCTAAAGGTTAGTGACAGACTCAAGACAACAAAAGACAAAAGTAAAATTGTTTCACATTTTATTTACAGCCATGTGCTGCGGTTCACATGTAAAGTCACAATTTTCTGTTGATACTTTGAGCCAAAGCATGAAAAATGAAATGCAAGACATGAATAAAAAAAGTTGTGCTCTCTTTGAATGATTCGCTATGAAACAGGAACTTGTTGTAACTTCCCTGTACACTGTAACACTTCTGGAGAGACACATAATTGAGTCAGACATTCATGCTTCCTTGATTTAAATTTCTGGTCCTTTTGGTTCATTCAGCTGCTGAAGAAGAAGTTGGGGATGATGACATCACAGATGACATCACATACAGCGATGTCAAAATATCCCGTCACCTACAGCAGCCAATCAGACGCAGCAAAGGTGATGATGTTTTATTGATTCTGTTTTTCAGGGACTGTGTGTTCTTGATCTTATGTCTTTGTGAGGACCAAGTTGAGTTTTAGACCTTGAGAGGACATTAAATAAGGATATGATGATATAAATACTCATCAAAATGAATCTTATCAGTGTTTTTAAGTCCATAAAGTTTCAGACCGT